TCTGGGATCTGTGCTGTATGAAATGCTCTTTGGTTTAGTGAGTTTCACTTCAGCTGTTTTTAAATCTGTTCCCAATCTTCACAAGTTGTTGAGTCATCCCACTGATTCACAGATGTACTAAAGCTGTCTATTCTTTACATTCTAGCCCCCATTTTACAGCAGGGATACACACGAGATGTATGACAACATCCTGCACAAACCCTTAGCAATGCATCCTGGGGCGTCCAGCATAGCATGGTCTCTTCTTCAGGGTCTCCTGGAGAAGGATCGGACACACAGACTGGGATCCAGAGATGACTTTGTGAGTTGAACGTTTCAGTTTATCTTACTCCAGCCATAAAAGACAATGATTTTTATCTGGCATTTCATATGATGGATCAACCCACAAGTGGTATTTAATTTAGGAAAAAGGTGTATTTGGTCTTTACTTTTGCCTTTTTGTATTTAAAAAATCAGAACAATGTGCCATGCAGTTGCATGAAGCTCACTTAAGCTTGAGCGCCCCCTTTCAAGGGGGCAGGAGCTATTTTCCAACAATAAGCTTGGAGCTCACTAACTCTGACACTGACACACACTTATCATATGTCCAGGTCTTCATCTACTGCATTCTAATATCCACTGACCACAGTTTAAACACAGTGGCAAAAAACACTCAGATAGCCAAAATGCATTTTATGACCAAGTTTATTTTTCAGTGGGCTTGTTTTTGACAACACAACTAGCTGTGCCGAATTATGCATTTCTAATGAAAGCCAGAATCATATGCAAATCTCTGATTCACAGCCGACCACTCAAAAATGTCCTCGGGAAAACGTCAGCAAAACCAAGCAACGCAAATACAATCTGTCTTAACTTTGCTGTTTTTTTTTCATCAAAAGATATTTTCATACCAATTAAAGTCAGTTTCTGGAATATATCCAACTGATAGCCTATTATTTAGCTAAACGCTCACTGTTCTCTCTGTATTACTGTAATATGACGCGCCTATATTTGGAAACTGTATCTGTGTATAAATCAGTACGACCTCTCCTACTCTCGTTTGTGATTTGCTGGGGCTTCTGTGCAGCTCAAATTGGTGCATATCACTAGATTCTGTAGAATGTGACCTTTCCGAACTAGTATGAAGCTCCCTGATTTGATAAAAGCTTATTTAGATATGCCTGCAGGTCCAATTTTTTTCACCTTAGCTTTTTATGTATATTGTGTGATTAGTGTGTGTACATAAAGAGTGTTAAAAAACAAAACTTATTCTTTGGAGGAAAACTTTTATTTTTATAACCTAATAGTATGTAAACATCTGCTTTTTTTTTTTTTTTTTTTTTTTGTGAAACTGATTTTTCAGCCAAATTAAATAATAAAATTAATAAATTAAAGTAAATTTAATAAACGCTAAAAATAACTTACTTTCACATCCACATCATCCCTCATGCCCTTTGTTGTTTGATAACAATATTAGCAGTTTAGACAGAATGCAAATTGTGAAATCCAGGTAAACCCATTCCTTTAGAAATTCACCTGTATAGCAAACAACTCAGGAATTATGTTTGTTGTTAAAATTAGACCTTTTGTTTTAGTTTTTAGCTCCCTCTGCTGGTAGATCATTGAACAGCATCCCTACATTGTTGGAAATAATTAGAGAGTAAAGAATTGTTGATTCTGCTTTTTTTAGACAAGCATGGTTAAGAATGGAAATAAAAAAATACAGTATAGTAGTATCTTTTAGATTTACTTTCCATCCGCCTATCTTCCCATCTATCTGTCAATCATTCATCCAACTTCCTTAATTGTTCCTTTGGTTTTTTCCAATCCTCCATTCCTTTTTTTGTGCAGTCCTTTATTATTTCCCTCTGTCTGTTCTTCATTTCCTCTGTTCTTTCAACCCTCTCATCCTTCCTGCCATTCTCGCTTCCTTATGAAATGTTATACTCGTATAAAATAAAATCATGGGACAGAGAGGTCTGGAAAGTCTGGGTTAAAAATAGAAAACACAATCGGGTTGATGCGTTTTTTTTTTTTTTTTTTTATGTTTTGTTTTTCAGAATGAGATCAAAACACACAGCTTCTTCTCATCGATCAACTGGAATGATCTTGAACAGAAGAAGATCCCTGTCCCATTTAAACCTAATGTGGTAAATATTTTGTTTCATCCAGTATTTCAAGCGTTTTTACATTTGCCTTTAGTGGTTAATGTTTTCTGTTATATTGTTTGGGAACAGAATATTGTTTGGAATCCTATGCTGCTCATTATATTCCATAATGCATCTTATCCTGAATCTTAACACCTCTTTACCTAATTTCTTTTAAAAAATAATTTTACACATTAACTTATTAGTTCAATTTTACATTATGTAAGCTAAGGAAATCAATGGCTTTTGAATGATTTTTAAGATGCTGCTTTCTGCTAACTTTAGAATTACAGTTACTGAGTGTATTTCATGAGTGTCGTTCTGAGCCAAGTGTCTTTTAATGTTTTGACAGAGCTCTCCCTGCGATATTACAAACTTTGACCCCGAGTTCACAGAGGAGATGGTTCCCAACTCGATTTGCTGGACTCAAGAACATTCCATTGTCAATGCCAGTGTAATGGAGGCCGACGATGCCTTTCTGGGCTTCTCATATGCCCCGCCTTCTGATGACTCATTCCAGTGAATCAACCCCACTAAGGGGGTCCTCATTTGCCTTAACCATTGTAAAAACATTGACTAAAGGGAAAAAAAAGTTAGAACAAAGAGGTTTACTTGTTCTGTGAAGCCAAAGCTAGCAACAGAGAATAACCTGCACTTAAAACTGATATTGATTGGAAGAAAGTCTATTTTACCTGTTTTGTATTTATATAAAAATATATATAACAGATGCTATATTTTAGAATTAAGCTAATGTGCTCGCTGGTAGTGTGATTTCAGGTCTTTTCTAAAAATGAGCCTTAAAACGATACCTGAAATAAAATCAAGAAGCAGGTGTTTGAAAACTTGAAATGTTCATTGTACTTAAAAAAAAAAAAAAAAAAGGAAGCATTTTAACAGGCAGATCCAATGGTCCATGCCCATGTTCTTATTAAAACTAAACATGCTAAACCAGTTTTATGTAGTTGGATACCATGGGATTTTGCATTTGAATCATACTAGTTGAGTTGCCTTTTGTTTCTTTTATGCTGGAATATTTTGATACGTGCTTTAACACATCTGTTCACATTAAATATTCGTAATGCTTGTCTTCAACTGGCCTGTACTTCTACTGTAATGATTAAAAACCAAAGGCACAAAGTCCAGACTCGGTGTGTATTGTTGGTATTTTTATTGATTTGTTGTAATGTCTATTTTATAAGTGCCTGTCAGTCATCTCTGTTTTGAATTGAATACAAACTTTATCATTCAAAAAATTTGTGAAAGTGAAACAAAACGCTGATTCTGTAACAACTCTCAGAATAAGGTGATTAAAAAGACAGCCTTTTCTCAAATTAACAGCTTTTTTAAGAGTGTATCAGTTTACAGCTTAGTCAAAAGAGCATGCCATCCAAAGGTAATTCTTTTCAGTCATATTCTGTTCAAAAACAGCAACAAGGTTCAGCACCTATATCTGATTTGCATCTAAATTACACATATAAAGTGTAAAGTTTTGGTTCAGTGCTTGATTTAGAGGGTCATTTTCAAAGTAGAAGGGTAGATATTTAGAAGAAAAATATATAAGCCACCAAATTACAATTATGTAATGCAGTCAAAACTGAGCTGAGATAATTTATGTCTGCCTTTTGTCTGTCGGGGTCTTGCGCCTATGGGCGAAAAGCTGGAGACAGCCTGGAGACCTTGCCATTTAACTGCAGGGCAACAGAGACATACAGCTATGCACACGCACACCAAAAGGCAATTAAGAGTTGCAGATCAACCTTACAGTTCTACTATGGCTGAAATCATGATTAATCAATTATTGAAATAATCGTCAACTAATTTACTAATTGATTAACTAGAGTATAGAGACTGTAAAATATGCCTTTAGCTGACAGAGTAACCCACTTAGTGCAGTAATTATACCAAGATTTAAAAACAATATATAAATATTTTGCATTTAAGATTAAAAAAATACTTCATTTGTCAATATTCTTTATCCAGATCTCCAATGATAATGAAAAGAATTGACAGCTTAATCGATTTACAAAATAATCACTAGTTGCAGCCCTAGTTTAGACTGTGGGAGGAAGCTGGAGTACCCAGGGAGAACCTGCAAACCCAAGGATGGGAGTCAAAAAATAGGACCTTGCTGCAAGTCAAAGTGCAACAAACTGCAGCAGATTTAAAGTTTGCTTTTTTTTTTTTAGCATGAGAACCTTAGAAAGGTCCAGCTTAAAAAAAATTAAAAGCCCTCTTAAATATTTAAAACCTAAACAAAATGATTGTACCCAGAGGTGGTTTGAAGGACAGTTAAAGATCTCAAACATTTATTGAATGTGTTAAACTCAAAGAAATCAAATTTTAAGGGTACGATTTTGAATATGCTCACAAAACAGTCCAAACATGGACCTTATAATTCTAAGACAATGCAAGACTCAATTAAAAAGAAAGTTTGGCATTTTGGAGACCTTTATCTAATTTGTAAAAATTTCAAATTGGCAGATTTCAAAGCGGAGAGGACCAGACAGCTGAGAACCAAAAGTTGAAAGACTTTAAAGATATTTTAAAACTGGTTTAAAAAGGTGTAGCTTTCACTTTAGAAAACTTTAATCTGTGATTCCCTGTTTGTGTTTACTGTTAGAAATAAAACCCATTTGAATTTGTTTCATTTTAAATTAAAACCTAAAATACAAATGAAGTTGAACAACTCATAAAACTAGTTTTATTATAAATAAAATAATGTTTTCAGATTTAAGAAAGAGCAGAGTTATAAATAAATTTTAAACTCTTTATTAAGAGGAATGTTCCTTTAAATGATTGAACTACTAACGGACAGAAAGTAGCGGCATCGCTTTGTTGAACGAAAACTAATTTTCTTTTCCAAATTTAAAACAAATGGCTGGCATTTTATCCTTAAAAGAATCGGTTCTGATTTATTTGGACCGAAGTGGAGGCCTTCAGAAACTAGCAGATGACTGCAAACCTCTAAACGGTAGTTTTACTGTAGCGCACCTGAATGCTAATTATGCTAATTAGTTACATTTAACGATTAGCTAGCTACATCAGCTAATCAGTAAATGTAGCAAATTATGCTAATTAGCTACATTTAATGATTAGCTAGCTACATTAGCTAATCATTAAATGTTTTGTTTTACTTTATTTTAACCGCAGAAACATATAAAAAAAAGAGAACATAACACAAAAAAATAAATAATAAAGAACACAGGAGGTACAGACAGTCATTATTTATGACACTAAAAGAATAAACATAACGTTAAATCCAAAGTGATGGACAATGGTTGTATTTTTTTTTTTTTTTTTTGAATGGCTTTGGCGGTCCTACTTGATTGTGTAGATATTAATTGTTGAGAATAAACTCTGTAAATTGGGCTTTTCCAGTTGAATTTTTATTTCACATAAACGGATCAAGTCTCATGATCTAATCTCCCTGTAACCAGACCCCCAGCAGACAGAGGCTGTCTACAGGTTCAGGGTTGTGGTGAATCCTTCAGACCTGATAGAGGTAGATCCTGAGCTGGGGGATTATGTTCTGCATGACCCTCTCAGAGCAGCTGCTCTGTTTCAATCAGTAAGTAAAAAACTTTAAATGACCACTAATAGATAAAATAAAATGGGTAGAATGAGGCTGATTTTATGTCCTCATTTTTCCATTCAGGTGTGTTTCTTGGCTATAAAGACACTTTCGCTTACTGACAAAATACACACAGCGAGTCAGGTAGGAGGATTATGTGTTTTTTGTTTCTTTAACCATTTAGACTTTTTCACATTTTGTTAGGTTATGTTAAAACCTACAAACCTTGATGTGTTTTTGTACAATATGCTGCTAATGGTAGATGATTTCTGAAGATTCCTACAATATTCCTATGCACAGTGGTTGTATCTTAATAAGGTGATTGTCCTTTTAAAATAAACGTTGAGGTAAATTATAAAGGTGAATCATTAAATTGGTCCTAGGAATTAATCCATTACTCTGCAGAAATTAGCAATTTAACCAGGCTCTGGCCAAAATGTCAGGTTTAAACACCCAAACGCTTATCAATAACCTGAGGAAGGAGGACAACAGACGTTAGATTATTTTTACTCATGAGGAGAGCATCAGAGATTACATCACTTACAATTTCCCTCTACTCTGAAGCCCTCTCTGCTGTCTTCCTCACTCTTTATTAGAAAAAGGGAGTCCCTAGTTACAATAGGTCACGCTGTAACTTTAATGGAATTTATGGGGAGTAGGTTGCAGCGTGATACAGTGATACACTTACATTTGTTCATGCTGGCAGCGACCTTGAGTTATACACATGATGAACATTCAGTTCCTGGCATCTCCAAAGCAATACTTTCACTAGAGTCTGCTAAAGATAATACAAAAAATAAACAAGGTTAATACAGGATACGATAAAGCCCCATAATTTGAACTAGATAATAAAAGAAAAAGTACAGGTGCTTGATTGTGAATTTTATTTTGCCATGTGTTTTCTATTTGGAGGTGAATATTTCCCTGAATTTTACTCATCTCCCTCCATTCCCCGAGTACACTTTGGACCTCAGCAGTTTTCACCAAGTGTATGGTCCTCTGAGGCCGGTCTCCATGGAGGGGGCAGTCATTGCCTTAACGAGGGTCACAAAATACACCCAGGGGGCGAGGTTCCTCTGCACTGATGATGATTGCCCTGGCTCTACAGGTACATTTGTTTTTCCTCATTCATTTATTTTTATTTAAGTA